TCCGTAATTATGATACGGATCTAATGCTTCAATCAAAAAAGAAATCGGAGCTCATTTGTTCAATATGATATCATTTATGCTTGAAGAAACGGCGTCGAAACATAAGAAAAACGAGCGCAACACAACTCAAACCTATTCAAAACTCATCCGAGGCCCTCTGGACCTCAACCAACAATTCCAACAAGTCATATATCACTACCTGAACTTAGTCAAACCTCCGAAACATCCAAAACAACACCAAAATACCAAATCAACCTCGAATTCAAGCCTAAGAATTTCTAAACTTTCAACTTTTGCCAATTCAACCCTAATTCTACCACGGACCTCCAAATTATATTCCGGACTCACTCCTAAGTCTAAAATCACCCAACGAAACTAATCGAATCATAAAAATCCAAATCCAAATTCGTTTACTCATAAGTCAACTTTCGGTTGACTTTTCTAACTTAGCTTTCTAATTAAGAGACTAAGTGTTCATTTCACTTCAAAACTACTCCGAACCCAAACCTACCAACTCGATACAACTCAATACAGCTGAACAACATATAAATAAGCATAGATGGGGAAAATGTGGCTATAACTCTCAGAACGAACGATTGGGTTTTTACAGCGAGGCTAGTCCATCGCCACGGGTTCAGTCGAACCCAGTAGCTTTGATCCAAATCCTGTATTTATCTTATGAAATTCATTGAATGTGTACTAATTATTAATTTAGAATCCAGTAACTTAAAAGAATTTGAACTCCGAACCTATAACCTTGGCTCCGCCTCTGGTTCTGAGCATCAACTAGTGTTTTGCCAATGCTTCTTAAGTAGGCGTTTGGACATAAGAATTGTAAATTTCGAAAAAATGGTGAAAACAAATTTCAAGTGAAAATGGTATTTGAAATTTAGAGATGTGTTTGGACATATATTTCAGTTTGGGTTGTTTTTGAAGTTTTGTGAGTGAAAATTTTGAAAAATAGTTTTTTTGCAGTTTTTCAAATTTTTGAAAATTTCCAAAATGCATCTTCAAGTGAAAATTGAAAATTTTATGAACAAACGCTGATTTCGAAAAAAGTGACTTTTTCTTGGAAAAATACTAAGTGTATTTCTATAAAAGTGCTTTTCAAAAAATTTCTTTTGGGGACAACTCCTTTTTTCAGCTTCTAAAAAGCAGTTTATATCTCTACTCAAAAATACCTTTTTCTTTTCTTAAAAGCTTGATCAAATACCTGAATTTTGAAAAAAAAATACTTTTAAAATGCGTAAACTGCTCGTTTTAAGAAAAGGGATTTCCTACTAATCTAAAACCGCAAACTGGCTATAAGTGTCATTCGAAAAATCTCTCTTTCGTGTAATTATCTTTTCTCCATTTCCAAATTTAGAAGGGAGCATTTTTTTTTAAACGGATCAAAAAAAAAATAAGTTCACATAAATTGTAACGGAGGAATTATATACAAATATTACAACTTTCAGTCAAACATTTCAGCACAAAGTCATACTATAGTTTTCAACAGCATTGAAACAGGAAAAAAACAAATAAATCAAAATAAAAAAACAGGGGAAACATAATAGGGGGAAGAGTTCGAAGTTTCAATTTTCAATTTTAAACATTGAAAAGAAATAAAGGAAAATAAAAAAAGAAGAGAAAACAGCATTAAATTTGCTTGCATATGCAGTTGAAATTAAAAGGTTCCACAATTTCCGTTCACAATCAAATCAATGATGAATTAAAAATCCACCACCACCACCACCTACTCCTCTAAAACGTCGTCGTTCTTCCAGTTTTTCAGCACTCTGCTACTCCCATTGTAGAGTCCAATTCCAGTGAATTTTTAGCCATTTTGAGTAAAATATAATACTATCTCAATTTTGCAGTCAAAATTCACATATCTGAGGATAAAACAGTATCTGGGTTTTGCACAAAATTCCATTTTGCTATAAAAAATTCACATATTCTTGAACTTTAAAGCAAAATAGTATCTTGGTTGTGCTCAAAATTCAGTTGTCAGATCACTTTCACATATTTTTTTTTAAGCAAAACAGTATCTGGGTTTTGCACAAAATTCCATTTTGCTATCAAAATTCACATATTCTTGCACTTTAAAGCAAAATAGTATCTGGGTTGTGCTCAAAATTCAGTTGTCAGATCACTTTCACATATTTTTTTAAAGCAAAACAGTATCTGGGTTTTGCACAAAATTCCATTTTGCTATCGAAATTCACATATTCTTGAACTTTAAAGCAAACTAGTTTCTGGGTTGTGCACAAAATTCGATTTTGAGACCAATTTCACGTAACATTTTCTGGGTTTGAGGCAAAATTAGATATGGGAAATCGATTTATTTGCATGACAAAGAAGGAAAATGAAAGGAATGGAGTAGGGTCAAGGAGTAAAAGAATGGAGAGATCAAAGAGGAGGTCATTAGTAGAAGAAGAGTTATTGCATAGACAAGCTTTGGCAATGGCAATTCAGCAGCATCAGTTGTCTCAGAGATTTGAGGGGTCAATGTCTAGACGTATTGGATCCAGTTCTCGCCGTCGTACTGATTTTTCTGATCCTGCACCCAATTCTAAGCAGCAGGTATATCATTTGTCAAGCTTTTTTCTTTTATACAGTTGCTTTAGCTTTTCTTTTTTTGACTTTTTTAGTACCTGCTATAGAGCTCGACTATAACAACAATAAATACAATATAATTCAACAAGTGGGGTCGGGGAGAGTATAGCGTATGCGGACCTTATCCCTACTCGATGAAGGTAGAGAGGCTGTTTAAGATAGAACTCGGCTCACTTTAGTAGGGGTGTGCATTCGATTTATCGATTCGATTTTGACCCTTATCCATAATACTTATCGATTATCGATTTGTACATATGCTTATCGTTATCGTTTCAATAAGGTTTCGATTTTTTCGATTTCGATTTCGATAACAAATAATCGATTCCATTTATCGATAAACCGATTCAAATGCACACCCCTACACTTTAGAGCCCGACTAATCTGCTGAAAGTCCCTCAATGGTACGTGGGACTCCGACGCGAGATATCTGTTTAAGTCACAGTCTTTGGTGGACTTGTTTTGGTTATTTTATGTTTGTTTAGTTTTAGTTTGAATCAGTAGTTGAGATCTATGGATGTATTATAAGACTGAGTCTGAGAGTTATCTGGGTGGAAACTTTTTATTTTTACTTTTTGGTCTATTTTAGTTCTGCTATGATGAGTTTGATGGGGTAGAGGTGGAAAAGTTTGCTTTTTTATCCTTTTTCTTTTTTGTTTTTGTATTTAGTGGAATTGTGCCTTGACCTGAAGGTCTATCGGAAACAACATCTCTACCTAAGGTAGGAGTAAGATCTGCCTATACACTACTCTTTTCGGACCCCACTGGTTTTATGTAGTGGAAAAGTTTTTATTTTTGTTGTTGTTGTTGTTATGTAGTGGAATTGATGGTAGAAATGATGTTTCTCTTTTTAGATTCTTGATAATGTTGGTCTATTTCATTTTTGCTGTGATGGGTTTGATGGGCTAGAGGTGTGGAACACTGAAAGTTTTTCTCTTTGTATTTTGTGGAATTGGTGGTAGAAATGATTGATTCTCTTTTGCGTAGTGTGGGGAAGTGTAAACTAAAAAGGCAAAGAATAGAAAGGCACTTTTTGTTGCAAAAGTTAAAAACTTTATCCCCTTTCACCTTTTTTCCCATATTTGAAATCTTCTTTAGAAAGGTGGATAGAAAAGAAAGAACAAAACAAACTCTCAAAACCCACCTTTTTCTTTGGTTTTTTTTTTCTTCTTCTTGTTTTTTGGTAAGATTCATGTCTGTAAGATTCTTAATTAAGTATTTCCTCGGTGTTCTGTAAGTGTGAGGTTGAATATTCCCAGGGCCTGAAAAATGTTTGAACGATTTCTTTTTACTTTTCTTTTCTTTTGTTTTTCTTTTTATTACATATTATATTATTTTACGGAAATCGCCTCTCTACTCTCCGGGGTAGAGCTAAGGTCTGTGTACACTCTACTCTCTTCAAACCCCACTTGCGTGAACTCACTGGGTTGTTGTTGTTGTACACTAGTTTTTCTTTGTGTATGTTTGATATGAGGAACCAAAAGCAAAAGCAATGTCCCTTTATTCTTGCTTTGTCACAAGAAATAGTAGCACTATCAGTATACCTGGTGCAGATTATGTGAGTAGCAGCCAGGGGCGGAGCTAGCATAGCACTTGCGGGTTCGGCCGAACCCAGTAACATTGGTCCAAAACCTGTATTTGTGTTAAAAAATTCATTGAATATGTATAAATTGTTAATTTAGAACCCAGTAACATAAACGAACCAGAATCCCGAACCGACAAGCTTCAAATTCTGGCTCCGCCTCTGGTAACAGCGATTCACCTTTATATATAATTGCACCTTGCTTTGTCATTAATCTACTGCAAAGGTTAAACAGTAGCAAAATTACTTCAGATTTCAGTGCAGAGCTTATATATTATATGCCATTCAGAATATCTAGGTTGGACTGTTCCAGAGTAGCTCACTCATCGATTTCTAGTTTATACCTTGTTATAGTTGCTATCCTATCCTCTACAAGGCACCTCTTTATCTGTTAATTCTTAGATTATTGTTCTGCGTTCTGTATTTTCACTGACCTAAAGTATGTGATGTAAATAAAAACAACTTACAGGAAGAACATAATTGGATCTAGGCGAGACAACTTTTTATGGGCTTTTACACAGCAGTTGTTGTGAAAAGATAAAAAGAAAATACTGAATATATATATCTTTTAGACACAAAAACAACTTGTACATACTTTTGATACCGCTTGGTGTTCAGCAATGAAAACTTTTGAGTTGATAAAAAATAGAATATTCAATTTGTTTACTTAAAGTAGAGATATAGTTTTGCTGTAGCTGTGGAAAATGAAATCTGGCAGTGCATAATGTGTTTATTGTGCTTAACCAGAATTAATGAAAGAACAGTATATGTTTAGAATTTCATGTAAATTGATGAGGAAGTCGCGGGACTACACTTTCATCAGATTGATGATACAACAGCCTTCAACATCTTTTAGAAAAACTCCAGACATTGTTCACGTGTCACTCCTTTTTATTTATTTATAAAATTTCATGTGTCACTATTAGTTGCCTTACAAATATTTATGCTGTAAAGTTACCAGAATTTTTGGAGAGCATCAAGACAAAGAAGTTCGTTTTGGTACATGGAGAAGGATTTGGAGCTTGGTGTTGGTACAAAAATATTGCTCTATTGGAGGAAACTGGATTGCTGCCCACGGCCATAGATCTCACTGGATCTGGGATCGAGCTAACAGATACAAAAAATGTTACAACACTGGCGGAATACTCAAAACCATTGATTGATTATCTGGAGAACTTGCCGGAGGATGAAAAGGTATGAGCAGAATTCTTGTTGATTTTTTACTATGAAAGATTAACTTTGTATGCTTACCTAAAAATGATTTTGTGTCCTCCTTTAGGTAATTTTGGTAGGTCACAGTGTTGGAGGTGCTTGTGTTTCCTATGCTTTGGAGCTTTACCCACAGAAAATTGCGAAAGCAGTATTTACATGTGCTACAATGATATCTGATGGACAGAGGCCTTTTGATGTGTTTTCGGAAGAGGTACATATCCTGTACTCCATACAACATTGGGACTTTTTATTTGTCGTTGAAGTAGAGCTAATAATATCAAAGAGCCAATGTAAACAAAAAAAATGATTCTTTTCTTTTTGGCGATAAGTTGTTGTGGTGCTTCTTCTCTACCTTGAGCCTTACCAAGTTTTCTTGGCTGAAAGCCTGTTCAAGCTTTTACAAAAGTTATTTCTCTTTCCTAAAATTTTGTCCTTGTTTTAATGAGACAGACATTGATTGAACTTTTGATAGATCATCTTATCTTGATGACTTATAAACACACAGATATATAGAGGTCTCTACAAGAGAATAGACCCCGGAACATGGGAAGAAAAAGCAAAAACACTGAAAATGGTAACATGAGCGGTGTAAGCTTTTGATCGGAATTCTCAGCATTTAAACTGTTCACGTCGCAATCCAGCCTCATACTGACCTGTTCATGTTCTTCAGCGATCTATTATAATTCGTTGAAAGTTGGAATTTAAATCTTTTGCAAAGTGGAATAGGAACAAATGAGTTTGAACTTTGAACACTGAATGAAAATCTCAGTTCATCCATGTCGTAATATGCATCATGCAAAATTGATGAGGTCAAAGAGGACAGTATATGTATCATTAAACCACTGGTTGGTTCCTAAGCCTCGTTCATTACAACCGATCAATTGAATATCTCAAAGGAGGAATCATTCACTCCCCAGAATAATTCTGAAATGCTATTACTGTTATAGTGTCAGTTATTGTTATATATCTATCCTCCTTCATGATGTTTTTACTTTGCAGCTTGGGTCTGCAGAGCTTTTCATGCAGGAGTCTAAGTTTTTAATTTATGGGAACGGTAAAGAGAAGCCTCCTACTGGCTTCATGTTTAAGAAGGAGCAGATGCATGGACTATATTTCAATCAATCTCCTGCAAAGGTACTTCCATTATACAATCAGCAAACCATGCTAGTTTATCATTCCCAGTGCGCCGCAAATGCACGTGCTTTCTAATGTGTTAAGCTATGCTATTAGTACTAAAAAGAACTGCAGATGCATCAACTAACCTCCCCCCCCCCCCTCCCCCCCCCAACACACACACACACAACAAACACCTTTCCCTTTCTTTGCGAGGGACTGGGAGAGAGGGTGGTAGTAGGGCAGAATATTTTTTGTGATGGCATAAGCATTTCTGGGGTCAGAGACATTAAAGCAAATTCCATGTCAAAAGAATAAAAGTAAAGTAATAGAAGCACTTCCAACATTCAGTGTTGGTGAAGCACTCCTTCCGTTCCGAAATGTTTGCCCCAGATTCGGACTTTCAAAGATCAACTCGTCATTCGCCTTTAGGACTAAGTATAAAAAAATTGTAGGATGAAAAATAAAAGTAATAAACTAACATAGAAAGGTAATGGGGTTAGAATTTTCTGAAGTTGCATCATCTATTTAAACATGCCCTTGGCCGAATTCCAAGGGGGTACATAATTTTTATTTCATGCCTATTTAACAAAAATTATATTAGAGTGTGTTCTCGTTGTTCTGAATTGTATGACAATGTTGTTTATGCTTGTTGACCTAAGCAGTTCCAATAGGAAGTAGTGTTTCCATAAAAGTATACACAGCTACTTCCAAAGCAACTTATCTGAGAGTATGAGTGAGATTTTATTTTTGTCTTGGTTTCAAGCACAATAACATAGAAGTGATACTAAAAGCACCTAGCTGAGTATATAGTAAAGCATAAAAAAGAGAGGGAGGAAATAGCTTTATCTCTACTGAAGATATGCTTAGATAACTGAACTTTTCAATTTTGGTCCCTTGTGATAAAACTATAGAGAGGCGGGACAGTCTCTTGTCTGATTGCTGACTTAACCTTCCCACAGTCAAATAACACTATTTTGGAAACTAAATTATTATGAAGAAAGGCCTGGAAAGTATTTGATGTTTCTCCAGATGTTTATGATGCTGTCATTTTCTGTAGGATGTTGCTCTGGCGATGGTATCGATGAGACCAATTCCTCTTGGTCCAATAATGGAGAAGCTATCGTTGACACCTGAAAAATATGGAACAAGTCGTAGATTTTATATCCAGACATTAGATGATCGTGCTCTTTCACCAGATGTCCAAGAAAAGCTTGTGAGGGAAAACCCTCCTGAAGGTGTCTTCAAGATCAAAGGCGGTGACCATTGTCCATTCTTTTCGAAGCCTCAGTCGCTGCATAAAATTTTGGTTGAGATTGCTCAGATTCCATAGGAATGTACATAAGAAAAGAAACCAGAGGAGCTTGGTGGATAGAGTTACCTGGTACCTGTTGCTGATGGGAAGTGACAGGTATCCCGTGGAATTAGTCGAGGTGCGCGCTAGCTGGTCCGGGCACCACGGTTATCAAAAAAGAAAAAGAAAAAAGAAAAGAAACCAGAGGAGAGCTTTTACTTCTTAGGGAAAATAGCTTTTGTTGGTTCTTTAAGAGGCTGTACAATCTGTTCCATGAGGCTGTTGTTTGTATAGAAGAAATTTAGTTAGGTTGTCATGTTCCATATCCAGTTTCATACTCAATTAGTTTCATTTATTTCTTTTAAAGAATGAAATACATTTGGTTATAGCGATCCAACTTGTAATTTTCTTCCATTATTAGTTGCTCTATTAACACAGGTGACAATGGCAACTGACACTAATCATTCTGTTGTCATAATTAACAGATGATTGACTAACATTGTAATCATTGGTTCTGCTCTTTATGTTAAGGATCATACTGACTTTTGGCTTGCAGTTCTAAACTCTCCTGCTATTATGTGATCTCTGAGTTGGCCTTTTATTAAAAAACTAAAACGAATACAATCTTATACATTACTAAATGCTCAATCCTTCATCTACTAGAACACAAAATAAGCAGACTGATCCTATACGTTCACAACAACACAAAATAGTGAAGAAGAATATTCTTTAAACCAAGAAAAGGCCAAAGCAGAACATCAAGAGAAAATGAAGCACCTACTTTAACACACACAGCACTATATATAGGAAGCAATAACAGAAGCAGCAAAAAATATTTATGGTACAAGTGCTGCAGATATTAATAATAGGAAAATTTTCCATTTTGAACTAAAAATAATTTCCCAAATGATTGTTCAAAACTGTTCATTGGTATTGCTATTTTCTCTATAACACTTGGCCCTCATAGCCTAAACTAATGCTTCTGCATTAATAAGTACAGAAATTTGATGAAAAACCAACTTAAAGGAAGGAAAGGACTTAAAACATTTATACAGTTTTCTGAAGAATGTCTACAAATTCAGGCTAACATTTATAAAGGTTAACAAAAAATAGTTGGTCATCCTTTGCAGCACAACCTTGTCGTCGTGTACATGTTGTTGTTGATCCTCAGCATCCATCTGAACAACACTCAGATACATCTTCTAACATCCGATTTAACTCATCCGAGTCCATTATATCCCATGGGTCCAAGCCGAGCACATCTTCGGGCACCTTCTTCGAATTTATTTGAGACATATAAGTCATGTGATCAGTTACTTCAGAGTATACCACATGAGCTGAATTGCTGTGCATATCAGGCAACACCGACTGATCAAAATGGAGCATGGTCGTGGTTGTGGAAGTTTCGTATGTACTGTTAACGTGCTTCAACTTCTTGATGGCGCAGAGAACATAATCTCTACGGTCTTCGTCGAACTTGTGAAGTATAACCTTAGAAAGCTCGTACTCCTTCATGAGCCAATGTCCATCTTTCTGATCTTCAGGGTAAAACTCTTTATTCTTGTAAGACAAATTTGTCTTGGATCCAATATTAACCACCGAAGATGTGTTTCCCATATTTTTGTAGTGAACTGGTTTGCCCTTGTTGTCCTGTTTCCAAGTTCCCTTGTTTCCGACAGAACGATGATACCTCGCGTTGCTTTTCTTCTTCAGCTTTGTGATGAAATAGCGATAACTGGTGCTGTCCTCATCATCACCACAGGGTACGCCATGATCATATATTTCCCAGGGTTCTTGTTTGCCATAGACATCAACGTTAGTGGTAATAAATCCAGCATCATGCATCTCTTGTCCAGCGACGAATCTCAACAAGAACATAAGTCCTTCTGAATCGGTGGGACGAAAACGGAAACCCTCTTGACCAAGCTGCTCCATGAATCTCAACAATAACGCAACTTTGTTCTGAACGCAACTTCAAGAGAGTGAATGAGGTTTGAGAGTATTAACCTGTATTTATAAGAGTCTGAAGTGCCTAATTTTAGAAAATTATTACTTAGGCAACAATTAAGTAGGGCTTACGTTTAATTACTTATGGAAATTTTTCTTTATGGAAAACAAAGAAAAGTAATTACTTAGGCAAAAGTTAAGTAGCGTTAATTATTTCTTCTACCCAAAGTAACTAACTTATGGAAACTTTTCTTTTCCCAATCATATATGGAAAACTTCTGTTTTATCATATTGATATTCGTATTTCCTATTCTTTTCTATGATAACGGGATCATTTATTACTATAATTTTCAACATTTATACGTACTTATTACTTTGTAATATAAAGAGACAATGCCAAATCGTCATGCCCTAATTAGATTCCAATTCTATTTTTCTTTATACTATAAGCTAATTTAACGTATTTGGTGTTTGAGACTTTTTTCCCACCCAAATAAGTTTGTTTTTTTTTTTTTCACATTTTCGCTTCTGGTCTTCATTTTTTTTCTCAATTCATTAATTCTATTTTTTTCTATTCTATATACTCCACGATTATTATGCTATTATTTTCTAATTAAAATCCTATACCTCGGCACTATGTAAGGGGTGAACTTTAGTTGCTTGGGCGTTCACCCTTGTCATTGTTAAACTTGTTGATCTTTTCCTCATGTTTAGCTGAATAATCAACTTATATGCATTTGTCTGAATCTTGATTTAAATTCAACTATCTTCCGGCACCACTCATTACCTTGTTTCTCCCTATAATTAATGAAAAGATTGTTCTTTTCGTCAAAATAGCATTTTAAAGGTATCTTGAAAGTGAAAAACACGAGAAGGAGACCTTATGTAAGTGACTAACTTTAGAGCATCCAAATTGTTTGATAAGGCGTGGCACTAATCAAGCATAGTACTCTCTCGGCCATCAATGGTTGCAATTTAGTTGTTTTTGAAGGTGTGATACATGAATATATATATTTGTCTCGGATGACAGAATCCCACATTTGTGGAACAATAATGTTTGACATCGAGCAGGTATAGAAAACTAACCATAGCACAATGGTCTGATAGATCTTGTGAAGAACTGATTAATCGGACGAGAATAAAGATGGAACCCCGTTCTACATGTCAATACCGGCAAGAATAAAATTTATAGTAAGAGTAAAATATGTCGACTTTAAATAATGTAAGGGTTCAAGTCCCTCTATCCCCAGAAAGACTATTTCACTCCCCAACTATTTATCCGACCCCCTTTCTAAATTTCATATCTTTCTCATGCATTCTATTCTTTTAGAAATGGATTTTAGCATAAATGACTTTCTCTTATTACAAGTCTTGTGATATATACATACACATAGAAATGAACATCTTTGAGCAAGAAATCCCTTGTTGATGATTTCCTATCAATATCATTACTCATACTGAAACTTACGAAGTAATCTGTTTGAAGATCGAAGAAATTTCTTGGCTTTGATAAAAAAAAATTAATCTACTTTTGTCCTTATAATTAACATAGACCACAGTTCTCTAATAAAAGAGGATACTATATTGGGAATAGCCCGGATAGCTCAATTGGTTGAGCAGGGGACTAAATATGCAAGCCCTCAATTTTGGCGCAGTTGCCGGGAAATTAACTGTGTTATTAATTGCAGCTAAAAGAAGTGATAAAATTCTTAGCATAGTCAAATTTCTTCAATTTAAACCAAGTACATTGAAATTCTAACGTTTGTAGGTGTTATAGGTGCATGCCTAGAAACTCCTCAAGAACTGGTGAAATGTTCGAAGCATTATCAGATCCTGAGAAAGTTTTCAAGGCACTGAATCGTGCAAACAAGAAAGGAAAACAACAACAGAACTCAATAGAACAAATCAAACCAGACATGGGAGACAAAGTAAACAACAGAAATAATGGGAATGACCCGAAAAATCAGGGTGTGGTGCCTCTTGTGCCAGAATTAAGCAGCATTGTATGATTGGACGCAACCCACCGCTGATAACTTAGCAACCGCAATTGCAGTCCCTCGGATACAAGAATAATTATTCCCTATCACAAATAACATGCTACATTTGTTGCAGAACAAGGGACTGTTCTCAGGGTCATACGTTGAAGATCCTCAACAGCATCTGAAAAATTTCCTGTCGATCTGTGCCACGCAAAGGAAACATAATGTGACACCGGAAGCAATACGGCTGTTGTTGTTTCATTCTCAGTGACGGGAACGACTCAGACTTGGCTTAATTCACTCCCCATAAACTCCATCACCATTTGGGAGGAATTAGTCAAGCTGTCACGACCCATTTTCTGAACAAGCCGGGACCGACACCCAATCACTAAACATGATCGAGCGAACTATCTGCGCTTATCAAATCTATTATAACTTCAAAATTTACATGCCACAAGGCACTACAGTAACCAAATACTTTTAAATAATTTAAATATCTAAAATAAGCCAACTTCAAAACTTTATATGTAGTAATCAATGAAATACTGCTAAGTTATTATCAAAAACATCTGAATCTTAACCCACAGACTATGTCTATGAAGCCTCTACTGATAAATTGACGCATTGATCAGAACATGATATTTCCTGGTCAGTTCTCTAAGTAAACAAAGAAATAACTAAATAAAGATGACTCTAAGGAATACTCCACGAACAAAAGCGGAGCTCACCAATAGCGCTGGAAGGGAAGGAAGTCCTAAACTGTAGCCTGCTCGCCTGCAAAACCGGTTCCTACGTTGTACTGCAGACCAACGTACGTTCCCAAAAGAGAACGTCAGTACCATCCATTGTACTCAGTGAGCCTCAACAGTAGGGGACGAAACTTTAATAACATATACATTACGAGTAAAGATTCTAAATGCATATAAGACATAAAGCTTATAAGAACAACTCTAAAATAATTGCATAATAGCAGTTTATGAATATTCTAAAAGAAATTCTTTTCTTTTTCTTTCTTATAAAAAAAATACTTTACTTTATACTTTGGGAGTTCAAACTATACTGACTTAATTCTGTCTCAATCACCGTGTGATTGGCATGGGTTCGATCCCTACCTGATCGAATAGGCCCAATACACGAGGTGCCACTCGCTTCATGGTTCTCAGTGCTCATGTATCATACCTTAGCATGGCTATGTAAATTCTCAGCAACGAGACCCTCAGCTCGTGTTCTCTTTATTTTGGCACAAGTAGTTTCAGGAAGTCAACGCCTTGGTCAGGACCCTCGGCCTAGACGATGACCCATTCTCAGAATAAAGGATACTCCCAAAAATCTTTTCTTTCTACAACTTCTTCTTGTGACTTTTCAAGTCTAAATCTTTTCTTTATAGAACCTCATGTACATGCTCATGCTGGTATCCTTAAATGTAAAGCATGGCATAAGAATGAAATAAACATGTAAAAGTATTTCTAAAGATTCTTGCTTTTTCATAAATTTTCAACATGAAAATAGCATATAATAATAACACAAAGATCTGAAAATTTATGCACATATATCATAATAAATCATCTAAACTTTTGCTAGAACAATTCTAAGTTAATAAGTACTCACTCGCTCCAATTAAATAAATAT